ATTGTTTTGATAATATTTGGAGTTCTTATAGCTTTTTGTAATGCTGTTGAGACACTCCCATATTACCTTGCTATTTTGGTTGTGTGTGTTACTTATATGAGTCTCCAGGGGAAAGAACAGTGTAGTTGAAGTCAAAGACCAGGGTTCAAGTTCTGCCTCGACCACTTAGTACCTTTAACCTCTCTTCAGTTGTGCAAAGAGAGCTCCTTGTCTTTCCTGTGGAGATCGCGACTCCCGCCCTACCCAGCTGGCTGAAAGATATTAATTTACATAATGTTGCTGAAGTGCTTTGTATGTCTTCAAGAGTCATATGTGTGTTATTATAATTATTAGTAGTTATTAGATGGTGTTATGGGCTGAATTGTGTCCCCACAAAAAGATATGTTGATGTCTAACCGCTAGTACCTCAGAATGTGCTCTTATTTGGAAGTAGGTTATTACAGATGTAATTAGTTAAGATGAGGCCATACTAGGGTGAGGTGGGCCCCTGATCTGGTATGACTGATGTCCTTATATGAAGATGGCCTTGTGAAGACAGAGACACAAGTATTAGCTGTGATGATGGAGGCAGAGAGTGGGGTGGTGCATCTGGAAGCCAGGGAGCACAGGGCCTGCCGGCTGCCTCCCGAAGCTGGGAGAGGAGATTGAGAAAGACTCCCTCGAAGCCCCGGGAAGGAACCAGGCCTTCCGGCCCCTGGATTTCAGACTTGAGACCTCCAGGACTGTGAGACAATGAACATCAGCTGCTTGAAGCCACTCAGGTTGTGGTGCCGTGTTACGGCAGCCGTAGGGAACTAATACAGGGGCTAGATTATTTGAGGGCAGTTCCTGGCTCAGGAGAAATGTAGGGAATTTGCTAGTACACTGCTTATTTCTGTGTAACACTTGAAGTCATTATATCACTTTCATAACATTATTTCACTTCATCCCCATGACTGCCCCTAATGTAAGAAAGTTTTTCTGAATTTAGTTGGAAATTGAGGCTTGTAGATTATTAGGAACTCAGCTGGAAACAACTTAACCTGGCTCTTTGACTCTTTTCCTTGTATCACAGCAGCTTTGTTTAGACCAACTAGTAGCTCCTACTGTCATATTTATTTTTCTCAGAGAGACAAGATATGTTTATTCCTCTGCTTTTACATATATATAAAATACATAACTTACTCCCCACATCCTGTGCTTTTCACCCCAGGCGCTCCGGTTTGGCTCACTGCTCTCTGCGTTTTTGAGATGGGCATCTTCAGGAACTGAGAAGGGACTCTGCCCGACCTCAGCACAGTTCTGCCACTTGAGCAGGAAATTGTAGGTGTGGTGAGAATCCAGAGAGCCTCCCAGGGCAGGAGGGACATGCCTGATGGGGCAGCTCCGGCCCTGACTGGTGTGGGGGCTGCTGTGGCTGATGCCTGGTCCCTGTAGCTGCGTCTGCCCACAGCCAGCCTTGTCCACCACAGGCCAGGGGCAATGAGAAAATGCTAGAGGGAAGAATAAAGCACAGCACTGTGTCTGATGGCAGGGGTGCCCAGGTACAGCTAAGATGCTGTGAGTCCAAGATGCCTACAACCCACAAAGGGGCACCTTTGGAGGAAGCAGAAATCTGCAGTGGCCTCACATCTTCCCTGCTCCAGGGAGGGCTGGAAGTGATGAGGTCCCAGGGTGCCNGGACATAGATTTCTGGGTTAGAATCTTGGTTCTGTGACAGCACTGTGTGCCTTGGGCAAATATTTGACTCCTGTGAATCCCGGTGTCTTCATCTTTAAAATAATGACACTGTCCACCTCTTGGGGTTATTGGGAGTATCAAATGAGAAGGTTAACACAGAGCAAGAGCTGGGAGCTCCAACAGTGAGTACGGGCAGTGGGGCCAGGGCACTATGCATAGGGGGGAGAGAGTCCACCAAGTAATAAAAACTTGCCAACAACCAAGAATGCCCCACGTTTCCCTTTCTTCATAAGCTACACAGATTATTTTGGGCTTTCCAACCTGGGAGCTAGTTGCCCTCAAAGATGGGTGTGATATTGTAAAATACAACTCAAAAGATCTCCAACCTAACATGCACCCCATAACTCAACCAACAGTGTTTATTCTCCCTTTTCTCATGGACTGTCATGTGAAATACGTCATCTTCATGTAGCAACAGAGACAGTAAATCACGGTATAGTGACTGTCTGCCATAGCGCTAAGAAAAAAACCTTGAAAATGAATATGTTCTAGACCCTGAATGCCATATTCTACTCACAAAGAGAAATCATTAACCATTTATTATTTTGTTCATTTGACATACTGAAAGTCTTATGTATCCAAATTTTAAATACCATTGTTTGGCTGTTAACCAGACTCTATCTTCCCAAAATGTACTCCTGAGAGACGTATTGGCTGTCGCCCAGCCCAGACTCCTCCTCAGTATGATTTCATTTCCCTAGCTCAGACAGCAGGACACTTCAGGTTTACACTTCCCTCCTTTTTAGTCCAGCCATCTTCACTCTCTTGCTGTTTCTGTGACACCACAGGAATTTTCCAGCTTTAGAAACTTTGCTCTGTCCCCACATGTCCACAAAGCCAATTCCTTCATCTCCTGGTTTTTGCTCAACTGCCAGCTTCTCAATGAAGCCTGCCTTCATCAAGCTATCTAAAATTGCATGTCTCTTCCTCTTGCTAGAACAGAAGCTCCATAGTGCCTGGCGTGTAGTAGATGCACAATAAATATTTGTTAAGTGAATAAGCAGTAACAACCAGTTTTTGAAGACCGAATAATCTTAGGGATGGAAGATACCTTAGAACTATTTGACTCAGTGGTGAGAAACTCTTTTAAAGAGGGTCAACTGAAGAAAAATAAAAAGATTTATAGGCAGAATTTGTTCAAAATTAAATCCCATCCTGGGCATAATGTTTGTTCTTAAATCTTAGCCACTTTATTACATAAAAGAATGTTTATGAAAAACTGTGGGCAGAGTTCAGAAGGAGCAAGAGGCTGCTTTTTAATCTGCATCCTGGCAGTGAAATCTGGACCTTATCATGGATACAGACAGCCCTTGGGACTCTGGCTGCTCATCACCCATCCCTTCAAACCTCACCCCATTCTGGAGAAGAGGCAGATTGTCCAGAGAAGAAAAGATGCTGCCTTTCTCAAGCCCACAAAGCTGACTTGAGGCAAATTCAAGAGTAGCCTGAGGTGCTTGGCCTCCATGCAGTGCTCCTGCCAGCAGCAGAAGAAAAAGAGCTTTGTTGCCTTTCTGCTCAGTGAGGCTTACATGAGCATCACGTACACTTCATGAAATCTCTGGATGTCTATTTATTGTGAATTGAACACATGTGCAAATCGGATTTATTTTTTGCCATTAATATAATATTACCATAATTGTCCTATAAATGATTGCAAACATTCCGCCTCCCCCTGTCCCATGGATTATTAATACGACCTAAGAACAAGTACTCATACTGTGTGGGTGGCGTTCCAACTGCCTGAGGCTGAGAAGGGCCTGTGAACCCTCAGCCTGCCTCTCTTTTTAATGTGCATATCTCTAGCCAACCCTTTTTCATACGATGTGTATTACCTCTTTTGTTGCTGGATTTTTACTTTTTTCATTTGTTATTATTTTAGTATTATTATATTTAGTATCATTTATATTTTAGTATTATTAGTTATATTTAGTATTTTAGTATTACCCATAAGTATACCCATATAGATTTATAAGGCAGAACCAGGAGGAATTTGTTCTCTCATCTCCTGAGATGAAGGTCACCAGCCTGGGCTAATGAAATCCCCTTGGCTTCGTATCGGAATTCGACAAATCAGAAGAATGACCTCTACTTTCCATTTGTCATGTGGAGAGTCAGGCATGGACAAGTCTCCCTTTTCTCCTTGGGTGGCAAAATTATCAATTATATCCATTTTTGGATATATATACTTACTTTTGTGCATACCAAATCATTGTCTTTAACTCATAAAAATGTCATCTATTCAAATGTTGTAATTTTAAACATTAAAAAAATCCTTTCCCCTTGTTTGGCTCCATTTTCTCTAAATTACAACCTCATCACATAAATAAACAAAAGTTATTGGCAGCATGAAAAGAAACACTGTGGTTGAACTCTTGGCGATGTGTTAAATTCAGTTAACTGAAACAAATTTTTAATCGCAAACACAGTGATAAATATCAGTGCATTTAAAAATTTAATCATCTTCATTGTTAAAGGTAATTCAAAAAAGAAAACTCAATATTTAGATTTTTTTTTCTTAACATTGAGTCATTTAGTTTGGTCACTTTTCTTCTGTGGTCATGAGGTATATTTTAGGATCAGAATTAGTTTAAAGCTGCAGTGGGTCCTAGAGAGCTTCTAATCCAGCCTCTCCATTTAGCAAGGGAAAGAACCAACGCCAAGAGATACTCTAGGACTGACTGGAGAGGTCAGACAGAAACGGCGGAAGGCCTGATACTAAATCCCAAGTGCCCTGAAAACATTAATGAGTGCATGAGACCAAATCCTCCTTGGACATACAGGAGAGAGAACAACTCAAATTAATATGAATTGCTTCTGCAATCCTGCCTTTACAAATGGAATTCTAGGACCTTTTGGACACTGCATCAATGGGCCACGTATCTGTATTATGTTTTATTTCCAAGTCCCCGGAGTTGTCCCTGTTCTGTAGACCTTCGCTGGATGAGCCCCAGGAGTGGCACTGGAAACAGCAGAAACAAAATTTTCTGACGAATAACTTATTTCAAATTTTCCTGAGTATCATTGCCTATGCATTATTGTATTCATAAATTTATAAGAATCTATAGAAGTTTTTTTTTTTAAGGAAGCAGTAAAATTGGTTTGCACTGTCATTCAGAAAGGAATAGCATAGAGAGGTTTGTCTTTCTGAGATGGTTTAATGAGGTCTCTTCTGAAAGCAGACAACTAGTTTAGATGAACTCAGAGATCTCATTCGGACACTAATCTCTAACTATCGTTAAGTACAGTATGTAGTTAAAACTAGTTGTGATTTACAGACTTACTTGTCAACATATTCGACTAGATCTGTAGAATTCTTGGTTGTCATGTTGGCTGAAGATAATCTTACCTAAAACAAAGGTTATGGGTTTAAAATGTATCATTAGCTACTTTACAGGGAAATCTTATCCATCTCATCCTTATATAAATGTTATAATTTTAAATAGAATGTATCCTATAGATCATAGACCACCAACCCAGTTACTTTTATCTTGCACGTGCCCTATTTGTATCACTACAAAGGAAAACCAAAATCAAGTTCTGGAAAGATACCAGGGAACTGCATTTCATAAATTTGGTATCACAGGAAAATTTTCTGAAAAAGTCAAAGCTATAGATTATTCTTAGACAATTTTTTTCTTTTTCTTTTTATTAAGATATCATTGATATACACTCTTATGAAGGTTTCACAAGAAAAACAATGTGGTTATTACATTCACCCTTATTATGGAGTCTGCCCCCATACCCCATTGCAGTCACTGTCCATCAGTGTAGTAAGATGCCACAGAGTCCCTATTTGTCTTCTCTGAGCTACACTGTCTTCCCTGTAACCCCACACACACCATGTGTGCCAATCATGATATCCCACAATCCCCTTCTTCCCTCTCCACCCACCCTCCCCTACCCCTCCCCTTTGGTAACCACTAGTCCCTTCTTGGAGTCTGTGAGTCTGCTGCTATTTTGTTCCTTCAGTTTTGCTTTGTTGTTATACTACACAATGAGGGAAATCATTTGGTATTTGTCTTTCTCTGCCTGACTTATTTCACTGAGCATAATACCCTCTAGCTCCATCCATATTGTTGCAAATGATAGGATTTGTTTCTTATGGCTGAATAGTGTTCCATTGTATATATGTACCACATCTTCTTTATTCATTCATCTTAGACAATTTTTTAATGAAAAATCCAATGGTTATTGTCTGAGTTACTAAAGAGGTCTTTACAGGGTAGATTATTCCTGAATGCTGATTTCTGAGAGGCATCAACTAATTTTCAAAAACAAAGTCAAAACTAAAAAATAATTCTAACCAGGTAATTTTGTTTTCTAAGAAATTTGGATGTCAGATGACTATATTCAATAGGAAATGAAAGTACAGAGCACAGTTATGTACATAACTTACTACTATTAGCCAGCTGGTCATATAAATGCTTAACTAGTTCATTAAAATGGTCTTATCATAAAGTTCTATGTGCATGAAAGTTCACAGTTTTACGGCATTTCTGGGAGGAAAGAGGATACCAAATGGCCTCAGTGTTTTGCATATGCGGAAACTTTTAAACCCTAATGTTCTTTTATTTTTGTAAGAACAGGACACAGATTTATCCTCACTTAATAGTCTTTCACTGAACAGGTACAATAGGGAGAATATGAGTGGTATTCCACCTCAGTTTAAACTTAAACCAAGTACATTACTTGGATATTTTTCTTGATTTATGTTATTGTATACTATAATGGTGAGCAGAATATGCATGCAGAAATCATTCCTTTTGCAACTGCCTAAGGGACTACCACTTCTTCTTAATTTAAGGCCTAGGAAATTTAGTTGAAAACCTCTCTTCTTCAGTAAAACTTAAGAAAAAAAAAAAAAGTAAGTCCATCGTCAAGAAAGCTAATAAAGAATACCTGACAGTGGTTAGGCCTCTGATGTAGCCCACTTAGGGGTGGGCAGCTAAGACCAGGCTCACGGCCACCGAGGATGAAGCCAGTGAACCACCACGACAGTGCTTCAGACCCTCTCACCCTGTTGCCGAGTGGGGTTTGCAATAGGTCTGATGCTCTGAAGCCAGGCCTTCCCCTTGAGAATGGATACACCGACTCACTGGGCACCCAGGTGTCATGTTACGGAAACCATCCTAACTCCCTAGAGCACATGACTGGTCTTCTGCTCCCATTTGCATTTTAACTCCAGGTTCCAGCTGGACTAGTGCTGCGTCCTGTGCTGCTCACCTATTAACGCCAGCTCTTCCCTTCTCACCTTTCCACCACTACCCCTGGCCTGTGAGGTCTGTTTGTGTATCTCCTTAGTGACCAGCTGGTCCCTGGCCTTACTAAATTTGGGATCTAGTAGCCCTTTGTAAGTATCTGTGGAATGAAAGAGTATGTGAATATTGTATCCAAAGACACTAAATTACTGGGTTATTGTCTTCTTTTCTCCATCTGGTGTGAAACTCTTGGATGTATATGTTTTATTTTAATTTCATTACTTTTTAAGTTTTACTTGGAAGACCATTAATAGTATCCTCTTAAAAACACACCTACCATTCACATACTTTTAAAGCAACAAATGTTAAACCTGGTGATAGAGGAAAATCTAGAAAAATATAGAAAAGTCAAAGATACAGAAAAAGAATCTCATAATTCTGCTACCGAGAGCAAAAGCCATTAACGTTGCATATTTCTTCTTCTATGCAATATTTTATGTAAGACAGTATTTGAGTTTTTATATCTTTGCTGTTGAATATAGAAGTCAGCTCTGTTTTATCACTATTCCTACCAGCTAGAATGTAATTATTGGTGGTTATTATGGGGCTTTTTGCATGTGTCAGTTTTTACCTATTTCATACAATACTTTAAAATGTTACGGTCCTTTATGGCTTAATGGCCTATAAAAATACTTTCACATATATGATGTGATTTCATTCTTCCAACAGTTCTGTAGGTAGGAATCACTACCTTTGCCTATGGATAACACTAGTTACCTTAAGTAGCTGAAATCTTTCTTTATTACAGAAAGAATTTGAGATGATTATTTTTGTAGGTGAGGAATCTGGGAATCAGAGAAGTAATGTATTTGCTCAAGATCATGTAGATGATGATAATAATCTTAGCTATGACTGAATCTTTCCTACCTGCTGCATCCTTTACTGTAGCAGCTCATTCATACTACACATCTTTGTATGCTAAGTCTAATTAGCCTGTTTCACAGAGGAGGAAATAGAGGTGAAGTAATAGCTGAAAGTCACACAGCTAGTATGTGGTACAACCAAAAGAGACTCAAAAAATCAATTCTTGATATCACACTAGCTTTCCAGTGCTCTTTGCATCATGAGAGCCTGCATTTACTGGTCAGGCATACAAGAATTACAAAGTCTAAAGACACTGCTTTGAATTTCCTTTTTCATTAATGGAGAAGATACAGCAAGTACCAATAAAAGAGACATTCTATTTAGCTATTCTCTTTCTCAGGTTAGAGCTAAAGTCTATGCCTTGAATTCATCATAGTTCTTTTGACTCTTCATAAAAAATAAATTATGAAATTGTCAACTTTTAGCCTTATATATTAAAATGAATTTATTAAAAAATTAGAACCCTTTAAATTTCCAGCTTGTGCTATCATCAGTCACTTTGTCAAAGCAGAACAAACAGGAAATGTAGGTAGTGAAAAGAAAAGCAACCCCTGCAGGACTCAGAACTCTCTGAACAACGCTAAGCTTTAAAGCTGAACAAAATATTCTATTTTTATAGGAATGTCTAAAAGTACTTGCTTGCTTTTCTTGGTCACTGGCTGAGCCAGGAAGGGGGCCATCAGGTTTATCCGGCTGTTTCTCTGCAGTCAGGGAGGCACTTTTGTTTGCATCTGTATCTAGGCAACCAGAATGCTGAATCAGATGAGGAACTATACAGCAAATGAATTTTTGCAGTGGTGGTAACTTTTTTTTTTCTAAGTGAGAGCAATTTCCCTACATATGGTGAAGGTTAAAAGGAGGCTTCCAATTTGTTTTACACTCCCCTCTTGCCTCCTCCCCTACCCCAACTCTCCCCTGGGCACCCTCACCGCTACAGTCGGAAGAGCTATTATATTGGTATCTCCATTAGACATTTAGGAAACATTTTGAGATGTGCTCATTTAGATCAAACTGTTCTAAAATAACAGGGAATGGTTGCTCACCCTATTGTACCTAAACCTTCCAAGGATCTTATTTGGAATTTATTACCTTGTTTATATGTAATAAGAAATATACGTGAGATAGAAAACTTAAAAGACTTTAAGTAATTCATGAGATAAATACCTGAACTCATGATATTTGATTTCCTGGCTTTATTTTTTGTTGATTTGATTTTTTTGAAAGGGAACAGAGGTTCTCTCTCTCTCTCTCTCTCTTTCTCTCTCTTAGAAGGACTAAGGAAACTCAATCGCATCCTGACTAAAGTCTTCATGTTTCTGGGTCATTTTCCCGGGGTGGGCAGGATCTGTGATGTCAGTCATGTCAGGCCGTTAAGTCCCTGGGCTTTAGTTTCAGGGGTTTTCCTTAATGCTCATTGTCATAAAACCAGTACGTCCTTTGGCTTTTTGTTTCATCAGTGGGGTAGTGGTTGTTTTTAAACAGATTTCACATTTTCCCATGATGTCACCTTCACGGTTAAAAAGAGACGAGATGCCATCAAATCAGACAAAAAAAATCAATGCTGTACCTCCAACGCGTCCTCCCAGAACACTAGTTAAGGAAGCAAATTCTTCTAGGCCTCTAGGGGGAGTATCACAAAGAATGAAGCAATAACGACAGGTGAGGTGAGTCAGGGATTTAAGTTAATGAAAATACCTAACTTTGGCTTTGTAGGGGAAATTTTGTTCAGTAATTTGGGTAGAAGAGTGTGGATTGTTTTAGCTCTGAAGTATTTTCCTGAGTTTTAAAATTGGAATTTGAACATTTTGTTAATACTACTTGGCCTTCACTTAAGAGATTAATTTGGCTGAGTTCCTTTTCAAAACATGGTACCAGAGAAACTTGCTCTGAGAAACATGATGTTCAGGATGCTGAATGACACACTTAATCCTACAGAAAAAAACCACCTACAGTTTGGGCTTCAATGGTATGTCTTCTGGTGCTAAGCTAAGCCTTACAACTTAGAGATAAAGTATTTCATGGCTTGCAAGCAGCTCAAAAGGTTTACCACACTGTCCTATTTGTCATTTTGTTGATCATCCAAGGAAACTGAAAGACGTGTCTGAGAGAAGGTGACTCTATGGCTCTACCATGGATCCTGAGGCAGTGGGTTTGAACTCTGACCCCTGGCTATTTACTTTGGGCAAAATTACCTCACCCTCTGAATCCTCAGTTTTCTCATCTGTAAAGTGAGCTAACAGTATTGATCTTAAAAGGTGGTTGAGTGGATTAAATGCAGTAATGCAGTTAAAGTGCTCAGCTGAGTATGAGTACTGGGCCAGGAATCCACTAAGTGGTAGCTATTATCACTGAGTATTTCACAAGAGGGCCATCACCCAAGAAATAGGTACAGGGTCTGTGTGAGGAAGGAAAACTGGATTCGACCTTTCTAAACAGTTTTTTCTCTTCAAATTCAGCTTCTACTCCACAGGATTTGGCTAAAAAATGCACCCCAGTGAATTGAGAGTCTATTTTGTTTGTTCTTTAAATGGCTGCTTGATCTTTAACAGAACAGTGCACATAACATATATGTATATTGAATTTCTGCCTGCCGAATGTAAATGTAAAATCCTTCCTGGAAGTCAATGATCCTCAAAGAACCGGTAAATCCCAGCCTACCAAGAGTACAGCCTAAAAGCACGAAAACCAGTAATATTCAATTTGATCTTAAAAACTTAAAAATGGCATTATGTTCTGATATTACTTTAAATGTAGTCATAAAGAAAGAAATAATCCTGAGGTGCTGGTCAGTGAAGGGGTTGGTTGGCGTTGAGGGTCCGGTTAGACTGAACTGCACTACACAACCCTAGGGATGCCATTCACGTAGGAGCACTCACTACATTTTCATATTTGTAATGACAATTGTTCAGGCATATGTCAAGAAAACATCTTATTCTAACAAGGTAAGTTTATCAGGACAGTTTTCTCAAAAATGGAAGTAAAGGGCCTTGAGGAAAGAACCCCCATTTCTTACACAAAAAAGTGTATACAGGCCAGGGGAAACCTGGACCCCGAGGTTCTGCTGAGAGCCGCGTCCTCAGCCAACTAGCAGGAACCAGCCCTGGGCCGCAGCAGCCAGCAGGCATTGGCCGAGTGTGTCCTCATCAACTTCCTCTTCAAGTCATCTCCCACTTGTGTCCCAAGTGCCACAGGCCATGGCTTCTGGAAGGACCTCATTTGGACCTGAGGACCTTTTCTTGCACTGTTCTAATTTTACCTGCTCTAGTCTTCTAGTGATCTCTGATGCCACTGAGCCAGGCCCTAAGCTCCATAAGGAGAGAACCTCCTTTCTTTGGGACCTCACCCTATGTCTCTCTCCGTCTGGCTGTTAACTTGTATACTTTATTAACATTTTAGAAGATATTCCTCATGTCTTACCGCATGATGCTTCTGAGGAAGGCAGTGCAAGTATGAATATCCCAGTTCTACAGATAAAAGCACAGGAGGTTCAGAGAGATTAAGTAACTCCTAAGTAATGGTGAAACTAACCAGACCCCAAGTCTTCCAACCCTTAGCTTTGTGCACCCATCCTCTTGGGATGCATGGCACTGAATTCTGTTAAGGTGAGTGTTTGGCTTCTATTCTAAGTGGGTGCTCAAGGCTACGTGGGTCCTTCCTCCTCCATGGCAGTTACATTTCTTTAGTCCAGAACCCCTCCCACTCTCCTAGATGACCCTCCTACCTTTCCTCTGACCTCAAACTGCTGTCACCTGCTCTGTCCTCCTCACTCTCAGCTCATGTACTTTCCTTTTTTATTTCACAATGAAAATAGAAGTAATCAGAATTTTGATGGGCTCACCCACTACATCTATAGACCTTGTGATATAATAAATCATAAGAAATACATATTTTTTGGTCATTCATAGGACCAAATATATGTATTTCCCAGGTGTATTTGGTCTTCATCCACAGTTCCTGAAAACATTGCGAAGTCTTAAAGGTGAAATGGGTGTTTTGTCATGTTAATGAGAGACTTTGGACCCCCACCCAAGGGCAGGGGCTGGAGGTTGGATCAGGCAATGGCCAATAATTTAGTCAATCATGACTATGCAATGAAGCCCTCACAAAAGCCCTGGAGAAGAGCTTACGTCTCTCTGCCCTGACTGCTCTGCCTTGTCTGCCTGGTTGGATCCTGCTTCTTGGTTGGAGAGAGCTTCTATGCCTGGGGAGCCAGAATGCCTCCTTGTGCCACCGAGCCAGGCCCCAAGGGATAGAGGCTCCTTTATTTGGGACCTTGCTCTAACTCTCTCTCCATCTGGCTGTTAACTTGTATCCTTTATGGTATCCTTTATTAAGCTGGTAAAAATAAGTGTTTTCCTGAGTTCTGTGAGCCACTCTAGCAAATTAATCAAACCTAAGGGGAAGGTTGTGGGAACCTCTAGTCTGTAGACTGTAGGTCAGAAGCAAAGGTAACTCTGGGGCTTGCGACTGGTGTTTGGAGTTGGGGGTGGAGGGTAGTCTTGTAGGAAGGAACCCTTAACCTGGGAATCTAGTGCTCTTTCTGGGCAGATAGGATCAAAATTGAGTTGAGTTCTCCAACACCCTGTGGGCATTCATTTGAGAGCTGCCTGGTGTAAATAAGTGTGGGAAGACCCCCTCCCACATATTTACACATACTGGAATTGGGTCTGGGTACCCAAACAAAGTACACTACTGTTACTGCTGTGTATAATATTGTTACTGTTACACATACATGTAACAAGTGTAAGTGAGACCAGAACAGTGGGTGTAGTCAGAGTAGGGTGAGGGGGGGGGGGGGGGGGAAGCAGGGCAGAATATTTACAGTCAAAGCAATGTAACAATGGGCAAAGAAGTCCCCATTGAAACTCTGTTAAGCATTATGCAAAGTCAAGGTCACACTCTTTCTCTAAGGAAAGATACCTAAGAATATAGACATTTTCAGTGAGATCAGTTAAAGGTCAAAAGGCCAGAAGCAACTTGGCCTGGAATGTTTGAGTGTTCTGCAAGGGTATCAGCATAACCTGTGATCCCGCTGTCAGCCCTGGCAATCAGACTATGACCCAGCCCACCTTGAGGACAAGGCAGGTGATGCAAGTCCACACCCCTAAGTTTTTTTCATGTTCTCAAAATCCTCAACTGCCTATAAAACCCCCTAGACAATGCACCACTACGGGCTTTCTTGTCCCCTCCTGGTGTGAGCCAGGAGCTCTACTCTCTCACTTTATTTCTAAATAAAAGCCTGTACCTTGCTCTCCTACCTTGAGTGTTTGTGAAGCTCATTCTTCAGCTTCGTGAACAAGAACCCCGGCATCATAAGGACATGTAGGGAAAAAATATACCATTGCATTTCATGTCAGAGATATTACAGATCTACATGCGTCTGTGTCCATAAATCCTGCTTCTGATCCTGTTGCAGACAGTGAACCATCTGTGTTGCCCGTTCAGGTACCTCCCCCCGTTGTCCTTGGGCGCTACTCATTCTCACCAACCCTTCTTGCCTTTTTACTACAACATTCCTATTGGCATACATTACTTTTTTTCTTCTACCCACCTTAAAACAAACAACTTCTTTTGATCCTATATACCCTTCCATCTACCACTCAAGTTTTTCCTTTTCTACACAGGAAAACTCCCTGAAAGTATTGTTTTATTTTTCTCTTTCCAACTTCTCTCTTTTTATGATCTGAATTGTGTCCTCTCCAACTCCTCCAGTTCATATGTTGAAGTCCTAACACCACATGAGGCTGTATTTGGAGACAGGGTTTTTAGGAGGTAATTAAGGTTAAAGGAGATCATAGGGTGGAGTCCTAATCTGATAGGATTAGTAGCTTTACAAGAGGAGAGAGTGATCTCAGTCTCTTTCTGCACAGACACATTGAGGAGTGTGAGGACACAGTGAGAAGGCAGCTGTCTGCAAGCCAGGAAGAGGTTTCTCACCATCTATTGGCACGTTGGTCTTGGACTTCCCAGCCTCCAGAACTGTGAGAAATAAATGTCTGTTGTTTAAGCTGCACAGTGTATTTTGTTGTAGCAGCCTGAGTGGACTACGACACTCTTGAATCATTGCAGTCAGGCTTTCTATCCCTTGCACCTTCCAAGAAGGTCCCCTGTGACTTCTTTGTTGCTAAAGCCAGTGACCAATGCCCATTTCTTTTACTTGCCCCAGAAGTAGCATTTGACAGAGTCAGGATCTGTCTTCTCCTTGAAACTTGGTCCTTACTCGGCTCCCCAGGCAATGTGTCTACTGTGACTCTGCTATTCCCTTTCATGGGCTTCTCATTCATCTCCCTGACCTCTGAGCAGGAGTTCAACCAACTCAGTTTGCTCAGAAGTTTCCTTAAAGTCCTGTGTCCTAGGAACCTTCAGCCTGGGCAAACCAGAACAGTTGTGTTGGGGGGAAGTTGGTTCAGAGATGCAGAGAAGTCAGAATACAAGGCGAGGAAAGAATTTATTAAAGTAAGAGTGCCAGGGAATGACAGAACAAAATGATAAAGGAAGTGTTCATTGAACTGCTGCTTAGCATGGGGCACACATCCCCCACTAACTCCTTAATCCAGTATCACCTGGTGTTCAGTGCTTGGATCTGCAAGGTGTGGGAACTGAGTTCCTACTACCCCAGGATTTGGGAGAGCCACAGAGCACTAGGTGGAATGAGATTATGTTCTGCAAGCTTCTTAGAGACAAAGAAAGAAGACATTCAGGCAGGCTACTAATGAGCATGACTGTAAACTGCAGTTCCATCCAGGTCACCCAGGCAATGGTAATTTGCAAGCCCAGATCTGAGCTCTCAGCATCCCCTCCCTACTTATCTGAAATAAGACATAAAGAGTGAAGGTTTGAGCTGAAATCCAGAGGATTAAAATGAAAAAGCAAAGTAACAAAGACACCACTGGAAAAGCACAGAGACAAAATGTTATAAGTTGAGCAGTGAGCAGTTTATTTAAAGCAGAAAGGTGCACACTCAGAGAAAGGGGAGTGTGGGCTACCTCAGAGAAGAGGTGTGGCTAAGGGTTTAGGGTCTGGAGTTTTATAGACAGTTGAGGATTTTCAAAGGGCTAGAGGTGTGGACTTGTTAAGTGGTCCCAGAATGTTCATTCTTGATGAGTCATTAAATCTCTTTTCTTATTAGTCTTCCAGGTAATTCTACAAAATTAACATTAGAAATTTCCTGCTGATTTCTTCCCAGAATTGCAGCTTCCTGGTCTGGGGGCATATCAATTAATACCACCTGTGCTGCCCCAAGGGTGGGCCAAGTTATTGTTTGTTTGCTAAATAATATGTTAAAAATCTTACTTCTTAACTTCCTGAATCTTTTAAAATGCAATTTTAGCTTTAAGGTGGAATCTTCTTGTTTTTACTATGCTGTTTATAGCTGGGCCTTTTAGCAGACTAAAGTAAATTTTACAATGGTATGATCTAATTGACACAATGAAGATGAGGGTTATGCTGAGATATGTCTCTTTATCTGGGGAATATTCAGACATTTCCTGGCCAAGTTGACTTTTGATTCCTGGCCTCACCTTTTAAGCTTTAACTGATTAACTCATTAACTCTGGGTCTTTCCTGGCTTTCTAGTTTTAACTGGTTAACATTTTGAGTCCCTTCTAGTGGGCTTTATGGCCTTATTCTCTTGCCATCATATCTACTTTTCTGCTAGCAATTGGTCACCCATCTGAGTGTGGAAGTGCCCCAGACCTCATTCCTTGCATTTCTGTACTTACTACCTTGAAGATCTCACCCAGTCTCATGGCTCTAAGCTGATGATCCCCCAAATTCCTTCCCCGCCAAAGCTGTTCCCCTACTGCCTTACCTACTATGCTGAATGGCAGCAGTCTTCTTCCAGTTGCTCAGGCCCCAAACCTTAGAATCCCCTTTATTCCTCTCCTTCTCTCATACCTGTTTGCCCCCAATTCAAAGTGTGTCCAGAATGGGTCCCTTCTCACCACCTCGCCTGCTGCCACCCTGTCCCAGGCTACCACTGTTTCTTCCTTGGTTCACTGTCACGGCTTTCTTAAACCAGTCTCCCTCTGCCAGTTTTGCTCCTCATAAACTATTCTCAATGAAATAGCCAATGACATCAACTTTAAGACTATGATATTTGTAAATGACATATCCTACAAGGGGTTAACATCCAAAATATATAAAGAGCTCACATGCCTTAACACCCAAAAAACAAATAACCCTATTAAAAAATGGGCAGAGGATATGAACAGACACTTCTCCAAAGAAGAAATTCACATGGCCAACAGGCATATGAAAAGATGCTCCACATCACTAATAATCAGGGAAATGCAAATTAAAACCACAATGAGATATCACCTTACATCAGTTAGGATGGCTACCACCCAAAAGACAACAACAAATGCTGGCTATGGAGAAAGGGGAACCCTCCTACACTGCTGGTGGGAATGTAAACTAGTTC